GGGGGGAGAAGGGGTTGGAATATCTTTATTGAGAAGCGTCCAAATCAGCCAGTTGTGTACAGAACTATTTTGAAAACTTTCTGACAGTGAAACTGTGCTATTGCTCGAATGCGTAGCAATGCCGTGATGTCTATGGATTGACTTTGTAAACAAGAACCTGCATCTGGTTGGCCCAAAATGTTTGATGTATTTGGTGAGCTACTAGTTTGGGGGGATTAATCAACTTTTCGACGTGTTTCTTAACCATTTAGTTGGGTAGAAAGCTTGGCTAGGATGAATAGGGGTTAGGAGATTATCATGGGAAGGGGAGAGGGGCTTGCGACGCAACAGAAATGCAGACGTAATTAGAAAACCCTGACTGAAATATTTGTACGCTCCTTCTGATGCTTTTTAGATTACTTGGGATGTTCCAATGACGCCTGCCAAAGTAAGACTAGTGCGAGAAAGATACGACATTCTAGCAAACAGACCAATATGAGATTCAAATAGACACACGGAGGTACTTATAATAATAACTTCCCCACCCAGGTATCGAACTCATGTCTGAGGGTGGTTGGCGGGTACTCTGGTGTGGTTGGCTCCTTCTTTCCTATCAAACAACTATCATCCTTATTCTTTTTTATGTTTGTTTCTCTCTTGTAACACCTCTTATCTTCAGGCGCTCATATAACCTTATGCAGTTGCGAGCACCGTAAAACCTTTACTTAAAAAAAAAAAAACTCACGTCTTCACGGTGCAAGGGTAAAGAGCCTAACTGGAACAACACAGGCGCCGATACAGATATAGCCCAGATGTAGATCTAATAGGAAAGATTTACGGCTGAAAGGCTCGTCCTTATCTACTCTCTGAGAATATAAATTTAATGGGGTCTGAGTTCTCACAGATAACAACATGGCCGTCTGGGAATATAGAAACATCTGTGGACGGGTCACGTAATCACAGCCTGCGCCCTGTCCCCACGCGTGTCCTTGTGGTAGGCAAACACACAGAGACCTATCAGTGCTGCAGCCCACTTCTAAGTACTACAAAACCGGTTCCGGCGCGTGTCTTGTGGTAGGCAAACACACAGAGACCTATCAGTAATGTAGCCCACCTTCACGTTTTACAAAACCGGGCAGTACAAAAGAAAAGAATATTTTGAGTAAAACTATGACCTAAAGTAAACGTGATGTTCGCAAAATAAAAGTCAAGGACAGAAGCACACACCAGATGACGTCAGTGTTTTCGTTGTCGCATGATTTTCTGTTAACAGTGAAAGTGACATTCACAGAGACTCAATGTCAGACTTTTCACCGTCTGTCAGAGTACGACGCTGGCATCGAGTACATCGAACATCAAGTGGACACGGTTTCTTTTAAACCGTCTAGACGTTTCCGCGTAAGTCTCGAAAGGTTCTCACTGTCTATTGCACTGCGTTGGTTCTTGCCTTCAACGCTCAGCTTCCAAGAGTAGGCACAAACAGCTCTGTTCTTCTACATGGGTGACGTCACTGCCATGAGCTCTAGTACAATATCTCCTTCGGGTCCTTCAGCCTACCACGAGACACCACAACAGGTTCAGACATGGCTCTGACTTTATTCCCGGATAGACATAGCTCGTGCCTGGTAATAGACTATCGTTGATAAGCTGGGGTCTGCTGGTAGTTTGGTTGGGGGTACTGTGTTGGGTTTTTTTTTGGGGGGGGGGGTTTTTTTTTTGGGGGGGGGGTCATTTATTTAAAAATAAATACTTTTGGACATAAAACTGACTAAGACAAGCAGGGGGTCGCGGCAGTGCAGAAACGTGACAGGTCTGTGTGACCGGTGCAATCTAGATCTGTGACCGGTACAAACCAGATCTGTGACTGGTTCAGGGCAGATCTATTCCTTGGTGCCGCCGGCGACGTTCACATGACCATAGACTGTAAAGTCTGCCCAAAGAACTCGGCCAACTGTCTGTTATCTTCCTGGTTCAACGGCCGAGCGAATTTTGTTCCGTCGCTTGAAGGGGGAAAAGACTTCTTCCATGTAGATTTCACGGCAACAGAAACGTGACAACTTCTAACAGCAGCAAGAACAACCACTACCGCCACCCTTATCTAAACCAGTACCACCACTATCCCCATCATCATTATCATAACCACCACCACCATCACCACCATATCACCATCACCAAAACCAACAACACCAACATCAGCATCAAAACCTACACTACCAACACCATCACCACCACACAAGTACAACCACCAGCTCAACCACCACAACCACCATCACTACCACAACAACGACTAAGACAACAACAACAACAACAACAACAACAACAACAACAACAACAAACCAACAACAACAACAACAAACCAACAACGACAACAACAATTACATTAAAAAAACTAACTAACAGAAACAATTACATGAAATCTACACAAGAGACACTCACCAAATGTTCATTGTAGAGTCCTCTTGTCTTGAGATTGGCCAGGTAGGGACGACCATCTGCTTCAGCTGTGGATGCAAGGCACAGGAGGATTGGCGGGGACTCTTAGGCCAGATTATACAACTGTTTGTTTCCTAACTGTTGAGCCAGATTATACAACTGTTTGTTTCCTCCTGTTGAGACAAATTATACAACTGTTAATATTCCTAACCCTTGGACCAGATTATACAAATGTTTGTTTCCTAATCCTTGAGACAAAATATACAACTGTTTGTTTCCTTATCGTTGAGCCAGATTATACAACTGTTGAGCCAGATTATACAACGGAAGAGCCAGATTATACAACGGATGAGCCAGATTATACAACGGATGAGCCTGATTATACAACTGTTGAGCCAGATTATACAACTGATGAGCCAGATTATACAACTGATGAGCCAGATTATACAAAAGTTGATTTCCTAACTGTTGGGCCAGGTTTTACAGCTGTTTGTTTCTTAACGCTTGGGCTGGATTATACAACTGTTTGTTCCCTAACCCTTGAGCTAGATTATAGAACTGTTTGTTCCCTAACCCTTGAGCTAGATTATAGAACTGCTCGTTTCCTAACTCTTATGACAGACTGAGTGGGATGTTTTAGGCACTTTAGGCAGATTATGTCGAGGAGTATTTCTATAAACTTTCTTTATCGTCAGACACTGTGCACAAATACAAATAAGCATTTCTTGACACTCTTGATGAGTTATCGTATACACTTTGTGCATATTGGGAGAGGGGTAGTAAGTCTCTCTCTCTCTCTCTCTCTCTCTCTCTCTCTCTCTCTCTCTCTCTCTCTCTCTCTCTCTCTCTCTCTCTCTCTCTCTCTCTCTCTCTCTCTTTCCCCCTCAAGCTCGCTC